CATTTTCTTTATCAATTTATTAATTTGGAAATTTAATTTTTAAATTTTGTGAGTAATATTATTGTTTTAATGTGGAGCAATTAATGCACTTTTTGATGTTTATTTTTTAGGCAAAGTGAACTTTTGAAGCCGATAGCTCATTTATACGCCTTATTTTACTTATAATTTTGTCTTTGCTCTGCCTTAATATTGGGATCTGCACTGCAATAATCGTTTTTGGCTATTCAGAAATAAGCGAAAATAATCTGGTTAGTTGCAAAAGCATTGATATTTGTAATAACAAAGTTCCATCGGACGTATGAAAATATTAATTATTTAATAATTTTCCGAACGGCCTCATATGAACCGATTAGAACATGAATCGTTACTATTTCGCTAGAAAACGATGTAAATTCTAACTTAAAACTGGGATTCTGAGTTTGAAGGTAAATTGCTACTTGGAAACTATGAAATTATTATTAAATCACCACTTCTTAACTGGGAGACATAATGCCTTTTTGATGTAGCATACTCTTTCTAGACGTTAATTAAGTAAATACTTAGTACAAAATTTCCATACTTATGAATTTTTTGCAAATAAAAGTTCGCATGTGGCTTTTAAATTGCATGGAGACCGAGAATTCTCTGTCGACTAAAATATAGAAAAGAACTGTTTCAACAGCGTTTAGCTCTCACTTAGAAGTCACTTCAACCTTTTATTTTAGATATCAAAATTCTAGTACTGGCTGACACGTGTTTACGGTATGCATGTGATCTTGAAGATCTGTTCTTATATATTTGTCATAATTTTTTGAAAATAATCGGGAATTTTGTTTATTTTTTGGCATTTGGGATTACTTCTAATACATAATCATATTGGGTTGATTATGTAGATCCATTTTATAAAAATTTAACTGGCTTTGTATTCAAGAAAGAATGGGTACGATGGGTAAACCATTTTTAACATAAGTACATATATTATGTATTATTACCGAAATATTGCTATTTGCGTTTCATTAAGATAATTCACATAGTGGAAGGTGCATACATTGTAAAGTCAAACGAAAGTTCTTTATATTAGGTGTACCGAACCAGGAAAATTATTGACCCGATTTTAACCATTTTTGATGAAAGGTTACGCCATAAGCAGGAAAATATTTTCTCTAAATTTCAATAATATATCTCACAGAATTCTTGATATTTTTGATGAAAAATCCACTTTAGGCACGGAGGTTCACATATTGGGAATATGGGGACTTGAAAAGTTATGGTCCGATTTCGAATATTTTCAGACGTAAGATACCTTAGAGGCACCATATATGCAAGTTTTTATACTAATGAACTGCTTGGTTTATATTCTTTATGGATGTCGATGATGCACTTAATAAAATTTTGCAGTAGCAGGTTCTGAGATAAAATATTTCTACTAAAGATAGGCGTTACCATGCCCACTGTCCAATTTTAACACCAGCACCTTTGAAGCCTTCCAATATCTCTCATACTCTGTGGCAACATGTTGCTAGAGTATAAAAATTATCTAAATTTATATATAAAGAGTCCCTACCTAAATAATAAATTTTCAAAGTGATTTTATCTCATTTATATCGTTACTAACGCCATAGCAATGCACACCTAGAAATTGCGAAAAGTTCTTACACCATCATCTAGCAATCTCTAAAATACTTAAATTCACAGTCGCTGGTCACGCAGCTGTGTCCAAAAGTGTCCTTGGCGACCGCTACTACCTTTGAAATGAACGCACATCAACACAAAACGACTCACGCACACATACAGGAATGCACGCACGCTCCAAAAGCTTCAAGGCGTCAAAGTGGAAAAGCAAGAAAAAAAAACTGACAAAAGGACAGAAAAAAAGTTGAAACGAAAATAATAAAATAAGCGCAATGCATGGGAAAGTGTTAAAATAAGAGCAGAGCAAAGAATTACATGTGAGGTCAGCTGGTTAAGAATGTGCAAATGAAATGTCATTTGTCAACTGTCAAAATAAAGGCTAGCGAAAGCGAATGACTTGGTTGAGGGAGGTGAGGGCGCTGCACTACAAGCGCTTAGGGGGCAAGCGGCTCTTAAGGGAACGACTCAAGTGGAATAATAATTTCAGCATTCATAAGATGATGTTATGGTGACACACTTTGCCACGGATTTGGACATTTGTGTGTGTGTGTGTGTGTGTATAATAAACAGTTATGCTACTACAATAACAAGTTCGAATAGAAACTTAGTAGCTGACATGTATGTATACTCAAAATGTTATAACTCGCCATGCAGCACTGAAATAACAAAATATTTGTATGTACATGTGTATATGTGTGGCTTGGTTTCGTATACGAGTTTTGTATTAGTAGTGGTAGTTTCTAAAACAAATGAATGCGACGAGTCTGGCATTTAATCTTGCTGATGATTTGCGAAATAAGTAGCTGATGATTGTTTGCCTCTTCCACTGCTTCTTCTGTGCTTCTTCTTCACTTTCATTTCTTCTACTCGCACACATATCTTTATTGCATCTTTTTCTTACATGTATGCTTCACTATACCCTTGCGAGCTGGAGTTTGACTTATGCTTTCTTTTGTCTTGAGTTACACCCACACTTAAGTGGCTCAAAATATTACAACTTTCCTATCATTTTCCGACAAGTCGTACACTCCGTCGCCACCCGCGCTACCGTTACAAACGTTTGCAAACTGCTTTAATTTTCCATGTGACGTCAAAAATTATTTTACCACTCAAACCAACGGTAATAAATCAACGCCAACTTGCAAAGCGTAAAACAAAAGTAAAATCGTTATAACATAAAGCGCACGCACACACATACACTAACACACTCATAGACACATATGTAGTTGCATGCATTGCTGTGTTTGCGTATATGTGTGTGTGTGTGTGTGCACGCGCTTATATTCGCTTTGGGAATAAAACATGGCGTTGAAATGGGTGGAGCGCCGCTGATCCCTTTTACTGGCACAAGAAACTGTGACTCTGCCACGATAAAGGCATGCATAATATGCTATGTACCAATATACACATACGTATATACATATATGTGTATATGTATGTCAAATATATGTATGTATGTGTTATCCATTTTAGTCGCCTGCTACTATTTTATGGTGCTCATCATTAGACTTGATGTTGTTAAATCACAAAAAGATTGTCTCTTTAAGTTGGATAACGGCAATGACTGACTGTTTCTTTGTACGTTTGAGTGTATGTAGCTTGTCGCATGTGTATGCGCATACGTTTCGAGGTATTATAAATTGCGCTCTTGCAAAATTACAGCGAAAATATTGGCTTTTCCTCCCTTCAACTTGGTTTTTGTTGTTTAATTTGTATACTTTTGCAACATGTTGCTACAGAGTATAATCTCTTGTTTTGTTCACCTAAAACTAATTGAGATAGTTAAGGAGTTATATATATATAAATGATCAAATGTTTAATACTTTTTTCTTTAATCTCCAATTTTGGCCACCACAAATTTTTTTAAGTTCATAACTTTTAATTGGTTAGGAAGGGGAATTTCCACAGCTTCTAGAACACTTATCAAAAATGCGCCTCTAGAAGGTAAAAATTATTATTTTTTAATTCCAAAAAAATTTTTTTTTTTATAATCTACAAATTTTACCCTCAGGCTAAGCAAAAAAAAATGTTTTTTCACTCCACCCTAAAATATACATTAAGAGTACCTTTGGAGTCAACTAGCACAGCTATGCTTTAAACCGATCTATAGTAACTTTGTAACGGCATATAAAGCTTTTGAACATGTTTCTTTATGTACATAGAAAAATTCTTAACCATAATGTGTTCTATAACTTCTATATATTTGTTACATTTTTCCAAAATTTTTATCTACTATCACTATATCCTAATATTGTATAGCCGGTTACCTAATTTAGCCATAATTTCTATGCATTGATACACACACAAAGGCTTTTCAATAAACATGCAACTGTTTAAGCTGAAAACTCTCCGAGTTATTTGCGCGTGAATTAATTGACCTGCATTGATACGTTTTCATCTGTTTGATTAACTCATTCGCATTTAAAGCGCATTAGCGACGTGTATTAAATTAAAAACGCCATAGATGCCTGAGTGCGCTAATAGCGCCGAAATGTGCAATTAATGAGCTTAGAGCACTGCATTCTTCACTCTGGATAAAATTAATTAATTATATGCGCTGTAATAAACACGAAACCACACACACAGGAGATATTTGTGTGCTCGAGCGTGTAGTAGTGTACTTGAGGGGCACTGCAGCAGAGTCACTAGTGCGTAACTAGTATAGAAGTAGGCACATAAAGAAAATCGTGTTTTTTAAAACCGCTGGATTTTAGTTTTGAGCCATTTCGAATTAAGTTCGACTACCAGTGACCGCGAAATTGTTAGGGAAGCTTTGATTTGAAAATATTTTTAGTTTACATCTTCATCTACATCCTTTATTTTCACATAGACATGTGCAACTAATTAGCAAATGTTTACACTTCGCTGATTAAAGACAAATGCCCGGGCGCATATATTATTTATATGGGTAAATATATACAAAACAGTAAATGTGAAGTTCCACAAATAAAGCAAAACTTAAGCTTCTTACAAGGAATTCCAAAGTGTCTGTTCAATTCACCAACTTGAAGTTTAAGGCACAGGATGTGTGGAAGAGCGGAAGAGAGAAGAGCGGAAAAGCAAATCCTTTCATCCACCCTGTCCCTAACTTTCCGCCTTAATTATGCCATAAGCATATTTTAATCACATTCAATTAAGTTCGCTTTTTATTGTTTTCATTGCCACAAAGCCCGCTGCGTTGAATTATTGAATAAATCTTTTTGAAGACTTTAGCGTAGAAAATCGGCGTTACAAAAAAATATTTTCAATGACAGCTAGTTATTGAGAAAATTCTCAAGAAATCGCTCAATTTCATATGTGAGTGTAGTAGTTTGGTACGATCGTAGTTGTTGGTGATGATGATAGTTTTTAGATTTTCTATGAATTGCGGTTTCCAAGTGACCACTTACCGGTATATTGTTGAGTGTGAAATGAAGGTCGGCGCGTGGTCTCGAGGGAGGTGTACTGCAGTTGGCGCGCAAGATATCGCCTGCTTCGTAACGCGCATGTTCAGTAAAAAGTTGTGGACGCTTTTCAGGAAATTCTGCAAATAAATAGACAACAAAAATATTTATTATATTATGGAAGAATAAAAGGAAAACAGGCAATAGAATATGATTAGAATAGCGCGAAACAGTACTGACAAACACGCGCTCAGGGCTGTACATAAAGGAATCAAAATAAGATTTCTGGTATTTAAAATAGTCCATATTAAATGTCTGCTAGTTTATGTTCAGGAAATAGTTTATTGACCTACTGAAACCTATTTGCTTTGCACACATTTAATTAAAACTTAACAAAACAAAAAAAAAACAACCACTGAAGAGACAAAATAGCAGGGAGCGACTGTATTACTATTATTTCGTGCAACATCCTCTAAGATGGTTTAGATCGTAAAACAAAAGAAGGTATCACAATACATATAGTCTTTTTAGTATGGGAGAATTTAATATAATTTCAACACAGGTTCTAACACTTAATATGTACTATATTGTCAGCAAGGATAATCCGTTTCAAATATTTTTCTGGATTAAACACACTTTATGGACTATTCATCGTCAGAATGAAGAAGGTGGAGAGCTTAACTAAAAATTTAAGGATAGGTGCGAAACATGACTAACATAAAATGTTCCCTATAAGTAGGCAATAAAGAGAGTCTGCGAAAGTTTTGGTAGAACATAATTGCGGTTCATACACCAGGTGCTTTTGTGCAGAAGGTTTCTAAATATTTTATACCCTGAATATATATATTTATGATATATATATATATTAAGTTTACCACGAAGTTTGTAACACCCAAAAGGAACGTCGGAGACCCTATAAAATATATACATAAATGATCACAATGATGAGCTGAGTTGATTTAGATATGTCGATCTCTCCATCTGTTGGTCCGTCAGTTTTTAAGCTATCGATCTGAAAATTTGCACCTGTCTTTTTCTCACTTAGAAGCTGCTCATTTGTCGGAACGATCGATATCGGATCACTATAGCATGTAGCTGCCATACAAACTGAACAAGTTGTAGTATGAAAAACTCTTTTATTTGACAACGTATCTTTACGAAATTTGACATGGGTTATTTATATTAGCTTATTAGATTATTTTATAAAGCTTCAGTACAACCGAAGTTAACCTTCTTTCTTGTTTTCTAATTTCTTTTTTGACCGCTAATATTATATTATTATATCTGTCTAACTTAGTTAAGCATTAAAGTATCTTTAGCAGCCGTGTATGGAAATCCTTTAACTATATGATTATGAAAATTTTTCAACGAAGACCCTTATTTCGCAATTTGTTTATTCTTAAATTTCCTGTCGATCATTTTTTCGAAATAAAATGAAAAATATTTAAATACCGAATGCTTCAATCAATAATGTGAATATCGTACAAATTTACTTTTATTTAACCATGTTCATAAATTCTCTAAGCGCATTGGGTTGCAATATATAAAACATACGACAGTTTGTGAAATAAACAAGAATCTCCGAGAAATAAATATTTTTAGATTCACATACACCTTCGTACACATAAATGAAAGCAAGGGCAACATAAGTATGCATATAATCGCACGTTTTAAGTATTTGTTAGATTTTTAACCATGAATATTTACCTTTCGTATGCACACATAACACAAATATCACACATAATACAAATATGTATATATGTGTACTATACATATAAATATATATACAAAAGTAAGTATCATATATACTTATATGCCACACTGTATCTTTAAGAGCTTCAAGTGGTTACTTGCTGTCATGTCAAACGAATGTAAATGAAACAAAAATATTTGTTAACTAAATACAGAAATAAATACGTTTGGTTGTATATACACAAGCATACTGGTAATACAGCTGTGTCTCGGATATTGGAAATGCTTTTCGTTTGCTTAATTGTTTGGCTTGTCAAGCCGGCGTTGAAGTGTGAATATTTGCAAAACAAACACACACATCGATACATACATACAAATATCTATATGCCGTTATTTATATTCAATGTTTGCAGTATTTGCCGACTTAGTCTGTTTGTTTGAGATGTGTGAAGATGAAGCAACGAGAAATAATTATTGCTTAGTTGGAGCGAAAGTGAAGCATAGTAAACAAAGTGAATGGAAATGCAAAGCATGAACGAAAAAATGAAAGTAGAGAGTATTATGAAGCAACAAATATACATATAAACATGCATTAGATGACTTTTACGTTCACGCTCTTCTGTGGTGCTCTGTCATTTGCACGCGCTACTGAACGCCCACACACACATACATAATTAATAAGAGACTAGCGCTAGCTCACACGTGTTAAAAAAACTGTAGATAAAGTATATATTTACATGACAAAATAATACATGCAATAAATATATATGCATATACATTAACACTTTTTCATAGAGCTATTAAAATTCGGACTTCAGTGATAGTGATCGAGATATTTTGGGAATCTTCAATAAAGGATGAAGTCAGGAACGGTATTGAATATAATCTTACAACTTATAAGCTAGATTAGTGAACAATTTGTGCTTGTTAATGTAAAAGAAGCATATTTTCTATCGAGACTGAAACTGATGTAGTTGCTTTCAACCGAAAAAGAGAGTAAAGTTTGTTAATATACTAAAAGAAGTTAAAGAAGAAAGAGGGGTCCCGCACCAGCCGTTCGTTTCTTCATATTGGCTTAAATGAAATAGGTATTAGTAGCATGAGTATTATGGTTAATAAAAGAGAGCTTAAAAATAGTCTGCAATATTTATAGTTTCTATGAACAACATTATATGGTGGCTACGTTCTCAGGTTTTTATACATATAGTGGCTATAAATAATACACTTGTGAAGAGTAATTTAAGCTTCCATTTTCATCATTATACGGTACTATAAGTTAAAGTGTCATTTGCCATAAAAAGCTAAAATTTCTTCAAATTGTGTTAAATTCTAAAACGTTTTATTCCTTAGCAACACTGAAGACACATGTTTTGCGTCTCTTTTTAGTTAACAATGGAAGACGCAATACTACGCAAACATGAAAAAGAGAAATGCATAACAATTATGGCACTTGAACTGGGGCGCTGTACATCACATTTCGGGTGGCATGCAATGCTGACACCGCCACAAAGTAGTGACAGCGCAGACAACGAACGCTTTAGCGAGCAACGATCAACGCAAACACCGACACATTCGCGTTGACAACGCAGCAATCAAGCAGTCGGACAGACAAACAGACAGCCAGATAAATGGATAGACACGTAGACTCGTATATAGACAATATAAGCGTTAGAGAGCGGCAGTTGACATGCTTAAGTGGCATACAACACTCCATGCAGCAGCCAACATTACCGCCACCAGTCACCAGCCGCCACTCATCAAGCATTGCCGCGATTGTCATTGTTTCACTGAATGTGTGATTGTGTATGATTACATATGTGTAAATGTGTTTGGGTGAGCGAACATAGGGCGCCATCATCGTCATCGTTATCATCGTTAACGGCGTACGTTGACGCTCTTCAACACTCTACAATTGTCAGATGAAAACAAAAACAACAGAAATGTAAAAAACCTAAACAAAAACCAACTACAACAACGGGATATGAGAGGGAAACAAAACAAGTGCAAATACTTGCTAGTACTTTTGATCTTGTTTAGTTGCCATTATATTTGCCATGCAATGTTGTTGTTGTTGTTGCATTCGCATTCACATTCATTTGCGCGTATTTGTTTTGCCTTTATACTCCATACTTTAGCAGCTCATGGTTTGTATTCAATGCGAGCGCGTGTGAACAAAAATGCTAACACTGAAAAGCAACAACAACAACAAAAACAAAAGAAGTCGAGTATAAACAAAAGCAGCTAGCGTTGCAGCGTTTGGAACAAAACCGACTGTGACATGAAGTATGTAGAGCGAAGTAAAATGAAATGAAGTGGCTCGCCGTGGCGGATGAGTGACATTTGCATTCTGAATTAGTACACATAGCAGTACATGTTGTCGGTAAGCGCGCTCACGAATGCATTACAACACACACACATACACAGTATTTATGTATATGTACACATATAATGAGTAATGTTAAAGCTAATGAAGAAATGAAAATATTGCGACAGACATTACTTGGGGTAAATGCCAGCGGTTGTCTTCATAAAGTGCTTTGGCATTTTTTGAAGTGGAGTTTCAACGGAAAATTGCTTAACTTAGAGCAGTGTTGGTAAATTATACAAAATAACTTAATTCATACCTTTTTTAAAAGCATTTCTATATCTGTTTGTAAAAATCGTACTGCGTTACTTGAAATTTAGTTTATTGAGGTTATTGAAACAACGTTTTATTTTAATTTTTTATAAATTTTCTGCAATATAATGGCTTGAAACTGATGTTTAATACTTCTTGTAATATCATACAAGTATGATCAGTAAAAAACTTTTATGTCTTGCTTCTTCGTAGATCATGAAGGAACCACCATTTCATTTAAGGGTAAAGCGTATGTATTAAAAGAGAAACGGATTTTTTTTGGTTGCAGTTTAGTATTATGGACTTGATTATTCTTTGTTTTCTTATATTTCATTCAATTTCCGAGCTATATTCGGTAATCACGTTATAAACTATCTTAATTGTGAACGTCTTTCAGCAAGCGGCTGTGATTTACCAGGCAAGATTTTAAGTTTAAGATTGAACAGTTATTGTTTAGTATAAATCAGAATATGTTATCACGGTCTTAAATACTGTAACAGCCGAATCGCGAAGGTAGCTAAATACAAATCTTTTTTTTCATTTTCGAAGATAAATCACCTAACAGACCATCCTGTAGTTTTTTTTAACAATATGTATCTCTTCTTAAGATATGGGGTATACTATCTTAAATGTTGGTACCAATAGAAAATTAATTTTACATTTACTATCGAAGAAGCTGTTATAATTACTTGCAAGCCAGAAAAAATGCATTTGCTAGCTATTTTTTTTTAAAAGGTATTATTGAATAAAAGCAAAATAATTTCATTTACAACTTTTAATTTACTAAAAAATCTGCGACTGATTTTTAAAAATCTCATATTCTTTCGCTCCCACAACCTATTTCCAGGAGGACCTTCACGAAATGTGTCTGGCGGTATTGGAGACTTAAAATTATTTTATATACAAAAATGGTGGTAGTCTAAACTAACGAATTAACTTTCAAAAATCTGAGTCCTACAATTATTACCTGACAAATGTATCTAAAAAGGTAAACATTTCAAACGATTCGCTAGTCGTTTCGAGAAGAATACTGTTAAAGCTTTATATTCACCTTTAGGTGAAATCGTATATCTCAGCAACCATTTTCAACTAAATTTGGTGTGTGAGGTTACATAATCAAAACCCAATTTCTATCATACACTGCTTACTTCTAATTTAACCAAGTTTTAAATTCTATGCGATTCTTTTACTTTACAGTAAACTAGTCAAACATCAATGCAGTTATTAGTGTAAAACTTTGCACAAATACTTGTAGAGCCCTCAAAATATTTAATCTAACATCGAAAAATTTCCAAAATCGGAATATAACTTTTTAAGGACATACACACCAAATATGTTCTTGTAGACACCAGTGCATATAGCTGATTTTTATCGAACATATCGTTTAGTACATGCGTTATAGTATTGAAATTCAGGGAGTATATTTTTGTAATAACAGCACGCCCTTGTGCAATTATTAAAATTGGGTCAAATACTTCCCTTAGCCTAAATACTAATTAAAATGTTTTCGAACTTCCGAAAGGATATCTTTCTAATAAAAGTGTATCTTCTCGCCTTTCATTGTAAAATATATATGAGAATCTTGTATATAATTTTACCTTGTATGAGTATAAAATGTTCGGTTACACCCGAACTTAGACCTTTCTTACTTGTTTTAATGTATGAGTTACTTCTTTCATAGCAAATATTTCGAAGAATGTGTCTTTCACCTGATTTTAAAATAACTATGTGAAAGAATTTTTTTTTAATTTACCATATTGCTACTACATCTAAAATACAGCTTTGAGTTTTGCTGGTTGATATCGGCCTCATTATTTTTAACTAGTCGACAGCTAAGCAGTCTTAACGCGTAGTTATAAATTCGGTCAGTATTAGAGCGAATATTCCAAATCATAATTTTATTAACAAAGCAAATAAGTATTACAACACTCTAATCTTTCATGCACAGTGATACATTTTCCTTTGAAAAGGTTATCTTAAATATTGCCTAATTATAAAAATGGTTTAATGCAACATTATTTTTATGCATTAAAATCACACAGAATTAATGTTGAAAAAAGTTTTAGTTTAAGAGTTTTGTATACTATATTAAAAAAATATATATATTTATAGGCTGGTTAATTGCAATCTTATCTTTACATTATATTATACTTTGCATTTTATCCATTACACAAATAAATAATTACAAAGCTTCTTACTATTGGATACCAAACCTTATTATTCATATATCAACATTATATGGGGTACACCAGTGCGTATGAGTAATATATTCTTTGATGTTGCTGACTATCTAGTTAATAGGTATATATCCGACGTAACAGTAAATATTTCCGCGTAAAAACTGAATACTGCGCTGGAACTCATAAAGACGAAAACACATACATCCACACATACACTTATACAATTTATATAGAAAAACTGCCTGCATCTTTAAGCACTTTACTGTCTAACTGTCTGCCCGCCTGCCTGCCTGTCTGTCCGTCTGTCCGGCCGTTTGTTTGAGTGTGTGAAAATAAAAGCCTGCAAGGCAATAAACTTTGTGCAGCCATGCAGTAAGTTAGTTGCCCCCGTACACTGAGAGCACTTTGCATTTGGCCGCCACCAGTGTTCGCTTTGTTGGTCGCTTTCTTAAGGCGAATTTTTTGTCTGCATTGCTGATGGATGTACTCTGTGTTGCACATACACACAACTGCCTCTGAAGCTTTCAACACGACTACAGGTGGCGCTTTGACGTTGTCTTCGTAGAACTTAAATATTTTTTTCGCTGCTTTATTGCCTACACTGTTTGCTCTGCGATTTTTTACAACTTTCTTTTTGTTTTTTTTGTTTTTGCTGCTCTTTCTTTCCGTTTGTGGCTGCATGCGGCAAGAGCTGAGCGTTTTTACTTCCTTGAAGCTGCTCGTTAGAGGGTGTAGTTTTTTTCTACAAATGCAACTTGTGTGGCTGTAGTAATCAGTGCGTTTGTGTGTGTAAGTCTCTAATGTGCCAGTGTAAATATCTGCTAGCGTGTACTTTATTCATATTATCATATTTGCCGTTACAAATATAGATGCGCGTTTCAACAACAAAGTGGCAAATACTTACTGATAAAAGGGAATAGCTAAGAGAGAATTCGGGTGTGAAGAGATGGGTTTATAAAGGCGCAAGTTTCGCAAAAAAATATGTACATTTATCTCTTTTCAACCAGAATAAATAAAATAGTAACTAAAGTCAAAATCTCGGTGAGTAATTCCTCAAATTTCTTACCCCAAAGCAGAGGTAATCATGACTCTATTTTTCACCTGCTAATAGCTTCCTCGAAACTCACCAAGTCTCTCCAAAAATTCATCAAAACTTAAACTCCAAAAAATTCTAGTGATTCCTTTAATTCCGCAATTATTGCACAACTCATTATGGCTTGAACTTTATCTTCAGTTATTTACTTACGACGCTTAAAAGTGAATTGAATTTTTCAATTATGAATGCACATAATTAGCCAAAAGTTTTTCGCAAAATGCCAAAGTTTTGACAGTTCAGCGTTAAAATGTGGCCGCAGATGAAAAAGTAGAGTCAAAAGAGCCAAATATTAACTAGAATGCGACCAAAATAAAGAAGAATGGTGAACTTACCCACAACTTGTACTTGCGCATAAGCGGTGGCGGTGGAGAAGAGCGGTGCATCGGCCGTGACTTCGCAGGAAAAGTTGCCAGATAAACTAAATTTCACGTCGCGTATAACAACTTGCGTGGCATTGGAGATAACTTCCTGGAATGGATAAGAAAAATAATAAAATTATATTAATGGTTAAGATCATCTTGACAATATTTGAACTATAAATAAGCAAATGAACGGCAAGGTGTTGGATTTGATAATAATTTGATATGAAAAGTTGTGAGTGAGAAAAAATTTTGCGAATTTGATGAAGACGTATATCTAGTCTATGATTCTAAGGTTATCTCAATGACATGAGTGATATGGCTCAATAAGTTTAAAGGGATTTTTTTTTTTAAGTTTAAGAGCTATATATACTTCATTAATTTATTTTACGATTGCAGAAAAGCCGTTTATTTAAAAGCAGTTAAGGCATAATATTCAAACTCTTTTTCTGATTTATAATATTATTTTTATGACTAACTAAAACTAAATGCATTTATGTAGATATGTTAGAGCTGCTAAGACGCACCAGAAAATTAAGCTAAGACGCACACCCGTCTCTGGGCAAATATTTGTAGAAGCCTACTTCATGCGTAGGCGAGAAACTACATTAATAATACACTTATTTAATAATTTTTAAAATTTTGAACTCAAATTTGAAAAAAAGTACCAAATCACTAAAAAAAATGCCTACATTTAGGCAGACTTAGCATAATCATCTACCATTCCGTAATACTTGTTATAATAAATTTCGTACTTACATCCACCTTAATGCCCGGATATTGGAAGTGTTTCACATTTGGAAACTCCCCCGGCGTATAACGGTAGAACTCATAATTGCCACGATAGTATTTGATCGAATAAAGTGGCGCACCTTCTAGCGTATACTGACAGCGTAAAATGACCGACTGGCCACGACGCACCGCTGGTGGCTCAATAAATAAATTGACGTTGCTGAGAGCGGCGTGAGCAAAATCTGTAAATAGAAGAAATGGAAATGCATGTTATTAAGTTAGCTAAGCACGCAGAAGTGGAAGAATAAAAATATAATTTCACAAAAAATTTATTTTATGGAATCTAAGTGCCAAAGTGACAAATGGCTGCACATATTTTCGTAAAAATTGCTTGAACTATTTTGTAATTTAAATATTGTATTTTGTATACCCTATATTGAGTTGTTAAGAAATTGGTATAATATGTAGGCTACATTTGGGCGTTAAAGAAATGTTGATTCCATTACTCTGCTGAAAAATGGTATATTTGTTTAAATTATACTAACACTCAGCGGCAATTTTCCATGAAAATGCGCAAATAACAGTATAAATAAAAAAAATGTATATTGAAAATCTAACGGTATTAAGCTAAAAGTTAGCTCGAATGCCAAACGCAATTTCGAGATTTATTTGAACGCCCACCGGATATCAAATTCGGTTATATGCGTATACTTTTTACACTGTGTAACAACAAAAAAAATTTAGTCACACATACTAACAGCTATGTATATAGATATGTGTGTGCCACATAGTCATCGATCAGCCATCAGTTTTGCTTAAAGCCAATACCAGCGAAGTGTCGAGATTGCCAGTGCCGCCAAAGAGCGCCAAAAACGTGCTGCACCACCGTAGCATTTTTGACTTTTTATACAATTCCCACGCTTCTATTTTCCTCAACACACTTTTTCTATTATATTTTATCACTATAGGAATTCAGCTCTGTTAGCCAGCCGCTGCGGCGCTCCCTCCCTGTGCACCGACGTGTTTTAAAATGAAACACATAAATCAATTAAAACTAAAATGTCACACCATTTTGAAAGTTTTCCGGTCCCTGATTTTCAGCCAATTTCCGCGTGCCTGTGTGTGTGTATGTGTGTTTGAAGCCTGGGTTCGACGCGTTTGCATTTGCCTAAAGGTCGTTTGTTGTGCTTAGCGCCCACTTCGCATGACGCGCGCTCTCTATATCCATTACAAGCCGTGTTGTGTTGTTCGGCGCAAAACAAAAATGATAAAAATGGAAATATTGGTGAAATTTCAAATCGCCTTTCCGCTGCCATCACTTTTTTCAAATTATTTTGGTTTGCTCTTGGCTTTGTCAGGCGCAAAACAAAGTCAGAAAACGAAACTAAAATAAACTTTAAGCCTCGGCAGTACAACAATTTTATCCTGTCACGCACACATACATATATGCGCATTCATATATGTACATATATATTTATATGACGCCTAGTTTGCTGTTTAGTTGCTGCCCGATAGTCCTGATACAGGTTAGGCAATATGTCTGTGCATGTACTTCTGTAAATGTTCATACATTCATTCATTTGTGCTTTCCTTGTTGTCTAATGGCTTGTGCGGCTGCCGGGATATGTGTGGTAAATGACAAATAGCTTGTCAATAGCGTATTTCCTCTTTAAATAGTCTAGTTGTTTTTTTTGTCTAAAAGTGTGGGTAGTCGATTTCAAAAGCAGAATATACTCTTTTTGCTCCCAAAAACTTTACTTACTATTTCCTAAACCAAAGCGTAGAAAATAAATAGTTAAAGTGAGAACAAATTTTTTAAATTCTTTCCCTAAATTTAGAAAATAAAAAATTATTCGAAGACTTTGAGATTAAGGGCGTGTCAATACAGCCGTTTCAATGAAATATCTTTCTTTCTAAAAATCGAGAAATGGATTTCGTAACAAGCGTTTTTTTAGACGTGTGGTTTACAATGAGTCAATACTTTCTTCAGATTTTGTCTTTTTGCGTCCAATATTCGGTCGACGTAAACGTCCAACAGAGTCAATAATTCGAACAACCATGGATTGGTTTCGCACCACGTTGTTTTTAGGGGATAATCTCATCCTCAGAGATCGGGTACAGTGCGCACCGAAGACTTTATTGCTGAAGACCCAAATGAGTTCATCTGCAACAATTAGAGCTATATCCATTCACTTTAAGGAAGATGTTGTGGAAGGATCTTAATTTGCGGCATTACAAAACCCAACTCATGCAAGAATTGAAGCCGAACGACCATCAAGCGCGTAAAAATCCTCACCTCTTTGAATCTCTGACAAGTTTGACGAAACAATCACGCTTCGAACTATAAATTTGCTTCACTTAATACAATTTTATTGCCCCCTAAGTTGTTCTATGGGATTGCCTAAGTATATCGAAAACCATTTCAATTTATATTTCTCAGCTGAAGCTTTTAAGTCTTACCAGCCGTTTGCCGACTAGATTTTACGCATTTAACGCTGCTGCCGGCGTGTCGGCGCTGTCGGCGCTAAATGAACACGCATTTGAGAGCTTTTTTCGCTTTGTCTATCATGAGTTTTTTGTTGCTTTTCGACAAAACTATATATGTGTACTTTTACTGCGTAAGCCTGTTCAATGATTTTTACTTCAGTTTTTGCCAACGCGTTGTATTTATATGCGTTGGCAATCGTGATAAGAGCATTAAGCTCAAAAAGATATGGCGGCACTACACATACACTCAACAACCTGATATACACACATTTATATACTCGTATGTATGTATGTGGATAATATAAGAGCTTAGCGAGACTGAGCGTGGGCTTGGCGGCGACCTGGCAGCTATCAGCCATCAGCTATCAGAGGTTGAAAGACAATACACTTATGATGGCTTACCATACACACGCACCCATTTTCGTACTTTTTTGTGCCTATGAATATGAGTATTTGTGTAAGTGTGTAGACGTGTGTGTGTGAGTGAACTTTAACGGCATCAAAAATCACCATCCACGTCAACGTCAACATTAACGAGAATGCGTCAAAGACAGGCCATAAAGAGCCGCAGACAGGAAAGCAGGCGAATGGGGTCCAATCGATAACCTCAGCGCGCCGGGAGGGGGGCAACGGCGACAGGTAAACCGACTGACTGACTAACTGACTTAAAGTGTGGCTCAGCAGACAGTAGGCTGTGACTGAGTGCTGGCGTTGATAACTGTTTGGTATATGTAATATCCGGTTGACTGTTAAAAATGGCACACACACACAGAGTCACATACACATATGCGCATATATGCTGTGTGGTTGTCAAGTCTCGGTTGAGCAACGCCAACGAGCGTGAAGCCTGAGTTAAGGGGTATTGATTGCTGATACAACAGCAGCCTATTATTGATTGCTCCACTCATTTATGTGTGTGTGTGTGTGTGTGTGTAGGTCTGAATATGCGTGCTCTTTAGTTGCTGCGTTGTGCGTGAATGAACATGAGTGTTGCGTTACGTTGTGCTATGCTGTGTTATGTGCGCTGCCTTTCTTCGTGGTTTCAACCTCAAAACGGAATGATGAAAAGGCTTTCACCCATTTGTGTGAAGAAAATCGGAAATGAGTGCTGTCGTTGACATTTATGCTGACTGCGTTGTTGTTAACCGCTTGGTTGCCCTTTTTTCCTTAAATATTATATTTATTTTTCATTTCCAATATATTCTCGAGTATCGTAAACAAACTACAAGAGCGTGCACAAATGGAGCTGGAGTCTATTTAAGCCAATAAAGTGAACGACAGAAAATTCATTTAAGTGAAATCACCTGAGTATGTTTATGTGGGCGTGTGTATGTATGTGTGTGTGTGTTATTGTAGGTTACAGTCGTTAGGGTGGATAACAAGTAGGGCATGTTAAATATGAGATTTTCAGTAGAAGTTTAAATTTAGTGTCGGTACTCAAAAGCCTGAAAGCCTGAAAAGCTGTTAACAATAAAGTTAATATAAATTTATGAAATACTGATGATTATATATATTTATATATATAAAAAATAATATATAATAATATAAATAGTTTATATACAGTTTTAAATTGTTTAATTTAATATTTTTACTATTTTTAATATGCAAAAAAATTGCCAGCGAAGACGTTTTTTAAGCAATTTTTCATATTTTGATTCTCACTTACTATATCTCTATATATCTCTTTGCAGAAATAATATTTTTCTTTAGCTATTTATTTCTGAATACTCAACACTTGAAACATGAAAATCATCGAACAATAATATTTCTGATCATAATTTCCATTTACTCTGAAATGTCAATTTTTTTACAAAAACAACGATGCACGAAAATATGCCTTGCCGGCAGACACCTTTTTTCGGAGGGCATCCTGGGGATAGGCTATGTCATAAGGGAATCAAAATTTTTTCAATGGAATCACTGATTAGGAAAATACATTACATTATGTAAATATGTATTCCTTTTATCTATTTATTAAATATAATGCCTCCTAAAGAAAATTAACAAACCAACGCACTTATAGCAAGTGGATATAACCTTTTAAATTTAAATGTTGAAAGGTTTGCTAACTGCCAATAACAGTATAAAACATATTTTAATAGTTTCAGAACAAAAAAACGTTACCTATATTTTGAAGTGCATGAAAAAATGCTGGGTACTTAAATATGAACATAAGTGTGCGATTAAGTAAAAATAAGAGAAAATGATGCCAACATGACTCAAAAACTATGATAAAGATTCGAAACGCGTCCGTATAGAAATAACTCAATTTTAAAACTTCGCGAGTTCGATTCTTGAGTTTTTTGAACTACTTTTCACTAAAAGTATATGTCTGCTTGTAATTTTTACTCGAAAGAATCTAAGTGATAAAATTGAAAAGCAAGTTCTGTGGATGTCCCCCGGTGGCTTAGACCTATGAAAATTAAAAAAAAAAATTAGTAAGCCTCAAATATTTTTAAGTAAACATTTTTGATAATTCTGGAAATTTTCGCATTTGGCAACTCTATCGTAAAAATAAATATTTTACTTCAGCCACTCATTGCGAATTTAAATTCAACGCACACTTATTTGTATGTTGGTATTTTTGAGTGTGTGTGTGTCTATCGGCTTTTAAGCACAACAAGGAAAAAGCGTGGCAACAGCTTAAAACTTATACCTTCTTTAGCACTTATATATACATGTGCACATGTCCACACGCATACAATCACCAACATATTTAATGCTCCTATGGGCGTGTGCGTTTGCCTATCAACGA